TGGGAAAGGTGCACAGAGCTCCGAGTGTGGGTCTAACGGAGGGATAAGGAGTTGGGAAAGGTGCACAGTGCTCCGAGTGTGGGTCTAACTGAGGGATACTGAGTTGGGAAAGGTGCACACAGCTCCGAGTCAGAGCTAACCAAAGGGCTGTCCAGCTTCGACATCATTTCTGGATGCTCCCCTCCGCCCGACTTGTTCCCTGCGTTCCGATTACAATCCAGACAGCCCTGCATTTCTGTAGCACCTTTGAACCTTGGGCGCGCCTTTAATGCAGTTGTATCGCTGGGAGCGGTGCACCAAATGCGTGCATGGCAAGATCCCACTAAAAGCAATGGTGATTAAATAAAACCCAGAGGGTCCACACAGCTGTTGCTGGTTGAGCCCTGAATGTTGGTACCGGGTCTCTTCTTCTCTTGGACAAAGTTTGTGAGATCTTTAACATTCACCAGTTAGTTTGGAGCCTCATCTCAACCATGGGACAGAACGTACGTGAAAACAGTGCTGATAGGTTCCATTCCTCAAGTAGTTAGTTTCACTTTAAACAGCTCAGGAGACCCACAGTCTGTCTTGGTGGGACTGCTGCAGAGTGGAGAGGGAAAGGGAAAGAGAGAGAGATGAAAGGAGAGGGAGGGAGGGGGCAGATACCGAGAGAGAGGGAAGGTGAGAGAGAGGGGCAAGTAAAAAGAGAGAAGGAAGCAGAGAGAGAGCAAAGAGAGAAAGAAGGAGAGAGAGAGGGAAGGAAAGTGAGGCGAGAGATGGATGGAGGGAGAGAAGGGAAGAGGAGAGAGAGCGCGGGAAGCAGAGAAAGAGAGGGAAGTAAAGAGAGGGGGAGAAGGAGAGAGACAGGGAACAAAAGAGGGAAGCAGAGAGAGACCAATGGAGAGAGAGCAAGGGAAGGAGAGCAAGAGGGAAGGAGAGAGAGAGAGAGGGAAAGAGAGAAAGAGAGAGAAAGGGAAGGAGACGAGAGGGAAGGAGAGAAAGAGAAAGGCAGAAACAGGGAGAAAGAGAAGGAGAGAGAGGGAAGTAGAGAGAGGGGAACAGAGAGA